CCGTATGAATATACGTTGCCCAGGGTATACCACGTGGAGGTAAGTCTATCGCACAACCCGTGTTCTAAAACTTGTTCCACCGTTTTCCCTTCTGTTACGAGTCTAGTACCAATGAGCATATTTTAAAAGAGGATCATACTATCCTAAGGGTAGTTAAGGGTTAAGCAGACCTGGTGTTCGAAATATTTTGATTTTTTCTTTATGGCAACTAATTTTATTGTTATTAACAATATTCGAAAATTACAAGATGCATACTTTTACACCGATATCGTTTTTTTCAAATAATGTTATTGCTACATTAGATGCAATATCATAAAAAATACTGTTTATTTATTTTATCCATTTACCTTGCAACATCTGTCCAACTTAAGTTAACATTGTGTTGTGTCAAAATCATTTTTTTAAGAAAGGGTTTAATAGGGCTCTCATTAATTGTGTATGTTTTTTTATATTTTATATAGAATGAGGTATTTTAAAGGATCCTAATTATGTTATCTCAGTAAATACCTGTATAAGTTTTCGAAGGGAATTTTAATGGCAACTTCCAAATTATTACATTTCATTTGCAATCGCAGAATTTGTGCCTGATTTGGGCTAAATATTCCTGGGTGGAATACATTTTGTTATGATAATTGGTAATCTGTACCAGATCAACTTGGCCATTTGACATGGAGATATCTCTCCTTGTTAAAAAAAACACTTTAATGCTCTCCCAATGAAGGAATTGTGTCCATTTCGTGAAATTATTGTCAAGTATATTAACACCGCGGATACAGGTTATTCGGGGTTGCTTTTACAGAATAATTTTTGGCTGTTTTTCCAGAGGCCTTAGAGGTGTTCTCCAAATTAAAATTTCATTAAAAGCTAAACTCACGTCTAATTTTAGTTATATGACCTCAAGGAAAATAATGATGATTGAAATTCAATTGAATCATGAAAACTCCTGCGTACTCCAGCGCATCTTAAAGATCACCATTTAAGGAGAGTTTGTGATTGCTACTTAATATTTTCTTAACTCGGTGAAAATCATCCCTTATGGAGAAAAGAACTGCGCCATGAACTATAAGACCGCTATAATAAGAAGAAAGCAAGATAGCCAACATCCGAGCTGATTGTGTTCGAAAAGCAGTTACTCGAGCAAAATATGCTGTGTGAGAGTGTTGGAGCACCCTGGAATCGGCGATCGGGCTTTGTAGCCACACTTAATTGAATATTGAAGTGTCTGCTAAGGAGCTTTCACTCAATTAAGTCAGATATATGTCAAGAAAGTCAAATTCTCAAAAAAATTCTCTGACAAGATCGAAGAATTTTCGAGCGAACTGAAGCCTTCTGCTAAAGCAAAAACAACTGATAAATGAAATTTTTTGTCAGGATTATGACCATAACTCGCAAAAAAGTGATGGCTCGATTTTCACGTAGAGAGCCGTATCCCAGATTGACACGGTTTTCGAATGGGGACCCTCGTCCTCCTTGAGTGATGTGGAGTCAGTATTTTTCGATTATTTACTAAATTACCATAGCATTTGTAGACGGTCGTGTGAACCATGTGGAAAATGAAGTCTGTCCACTTTTCACTTCATTCTTTTCATAATTGGCTCACATTTAACCGCTTTATCTCTCTTTAGTTCTTAATGCCACTAAGTTTAAAGATATCTTTAAGTTTAATTCTTTTGCATTATAAAAGTTGCTTCAGTTAGTATAACCACCAAATTAATGTCGCAGATACCACAACATGGGCATACACGCCTTTTCCAAGAGGTTAAGTATGTAAACGAAGCATAGAAATTTACTAATCAAGTTAAACTATTACAATTTTAAAAAGTTATTAAAGCTTAAACATATGTATTGTTGGTAAATTGGTGTCACGTAGCGGTGAATATTTTTTGATTGAGTCAATGTACCCCGGATGTGGCTAACTACGTTTTCAGACTTTAAAGTAGCATAATTTTTAAAAATGTTCCTTAGAATAATCACTTGAATCAACATTGTGGCAACAAAACAATTCTTTATTAATTGAATTTCGAGTTTCTTAATTTGGGAAAAAATGTACGAAAGTTAGCTGAATTTACATAGACCAATTGGCGAAGCATATTTGTATATCATACGTAACAAAACCAATTTTTTTCGTTTTATCAATGATGTATATTATTTTCTTTTATGCTAAAAGCGAATGTCAAGCGATTCTTCTTTTTGGTGTAAGTGAGAATGAAGGGTATGTGACAAAAATCTATTGAGTTGATGGTCTTTCCCTTTCTATTGCGATTAATATCTTTTTAAACTTGATTTACCTCAATGTTTTCAAGTTAAGTAGAACTTTTGAGCCCATCAACGACTTGCAGTTTGAAAGTAAATTATTGTGTCTAGAGACTTCTTAAAAGTCCTTTTTTCAATAATGCGAAATTAGGGGATTCTGCACAAATGAGAACTATATGCTCATTACTCCAAAGAAAGAAATTGTGGTTCCATTCATACTGCACCGTACTGTTGATATTTGAGTAGACGAAATCGTCATTTTTAGAGTAATCCTTCGTTTAACGTTTTGTTTCATTTATCCTCGGATTACTTTAGAAACCCCACAAGGGCTGGAATCGCGGCGTGGTTTACTTTTCACTACTTAAGGCAAGTGCAAGAATATTGAGATATAAGGACACAAGAGTCCTGTCTTTAATGGTTGCAAATGAAAGAGTAAAAAAGTTGTTAAACCCCTCTTTTCCCAAGATGTTTCTTTTAATGTTTTTAATGTTTTTATTGCTGATCTAATCTAACTATTCATGATTGCAAGAAGACATTTATGAAACTAAGTGTCGCAATCAATCATTCCAATCTAAGCTGAAGACATTACTACATCTAGGTACCCAGGGGTCAACTCGAGCCTCCAAACACTTGGAGATTGCGATTTGTATCAAGTCTATAAAAGAAAGCGGTCGACATTTTGGTTCCACGATATATCCCGACTTCAGTATATGTTTCGTTTGCTGGAATATTTTACTCATTCAAATGTAATTGTCATGACTATTAGTAATCCATCTTTTGCATTCCAGTAAAATATAATCCTAATGTTTCAATAATAAAATTTTAATGTTTTATTTTCAAAATGATTCTCTAAAAGAAAGTGTTACTTTATGGGACCAATAATAGTTTTTGCATTTTTTCGCATTGTGACAATGTAGTCTACTTTGAAAGAATATATATTTCATCAAGACTTGATAGTTAATTAGTTTGTTTAATGTTAAACATTTTAGTTGCAATCAATTTAAACAATTCTATTTTGCTAAAACGCAGTCATTTTGGCCCCAGATACTACTTTCAAAATGAAAAAAGGAAATTTACCGTTACCTGGTGTTAGAGTGGGTTTAAAAAATCATAGAGGTTTTCTGATAATCTAGCATTGACAAAAACGAACGGGACTTTTACCGAAAAACGGGATTAGTTGTAGTCAAACCAGCTTGTAAAATACCTAGTTTATGATCAGATACATATTTTGAACAATTTTATCAAATATTTTAATAAAGGTATGCTTTAACTAGCAAACACATGTAAATTAACAAATTACTAGACAAATTCCTTCAAATTTAGCCGCAAGTTGTGTGATATTTTATGAGTAAATGTGTTAAATAAACAGGTCTTTTTAGGGGTCTTTACCGATATCATTGACGACCAATTACAAACAAAGAGATAAGCTAATATAATTTTAAGCAGCCATATTGAGCTTTTATTTAATACTAAAAACAATTTATATACTTTTATGTTTCCATATGACCATTTTAATAAATCTTATCGTTTATATGCGTTTCTTTCACCTCAAATTGAAATTAAAGTCTATCAAAGTACAGTGCTTATCTTAGGTCCAGTACAGAAAAAGTTTTTTTCTCTATTTGTGGATTACATATAAAATGAATTCAAAAAAAATAAATATATATGGTGCCAGTTGCTCAACAATACATAATTATAGATATAAGATTCCAGGATTAAGAGAACTTTACTTCATCTCAGCTCCTGAATCGCCATATTGACTAATTTTCAAGGTGGACTTCCTTCAGACCTATTCTTTCAATTTTTTACCTGACATAACTCAACTAACATAGCTCAGAGCTGCCTGTTATGCTCTTGTTCACATAATTTTGTCATGTCCATCCATCAGCATACAGACCTGTTTTGAGCATATGATGGTCAATCTGCCCTGTCTACTCATCTCAATTTCAGTTACAAAGGGTCGACGATATCTTGAAAACACAAATGCAACTTGTCATCATACTTCAAATTCTCCCATCTGTTTGGAGAGCATAGGGATCTTTCTTTCAACCAAAGTTGTCCAAACCAACTCGCTCCTTGTGCTCACTTAGAATTACCAAGTTTGAGAAATTGGTTTCCAACAGAAATGTTGCATTTTCGCATTTTATAGCTGTTTTTTATACTTATACTCCAGGCTACCTAAGAGGGTCTTTTCTGTCAAGACGTTAGTATTTCAATCTATTTAAATGGTAGGCAATTGGCATTTATCACAATTGTATAGCATACTTCTGACTACCTGCAATTGATTACGGATATAGGCATGGATATTTCCGGAAATACCTAATTCCTTTTTGCATTTAAAGTTCCCAACCCACTTCCATTGTGGATAGTTCAGTTGCAAGTACTACAGGACACCTCAAATGACTCATTTCTATTTGCGTCACGATTTTGCCTAATATGGCTTTTTGGAGGGCATTTGAAACATGATTTATCATTGTCCCAAATAATATTAAGGTAATATAACCCCCTTTAAACTCGCGAATTTAATTGAAAGTCATGAAATATTTAAAACAAGTATTTATTGTCAATACAGACCTTGCATGAAAATTAATAGGATTTCCGAAGACAGTGAGTTACGTAAATTCTCTCCGCGTGTAAATGATGTCATTTACTCCGTCTCAACAGATTCAAAATGGTTTAACTCACATTTCATCTGTTAGTGAGTTAACGCAATCGTTGGACAACCACGTACGCTTCTACAAAGCTTCATGCATACGCTATTATACATCAGCTTTTTTCTTTCAATTACAGGGATGATGGTAGGTGCTTTGTGCGCCATAACAGGAGTCTTAACAATTGCCCTTCCAGTGCCCGTCATTGTGTCAAACTTCTCCATGTTCTACTCGCATACCCAAGCTCGCTCCAAATTGCCCAAAAAGAGGCGTCGTGTATTGCCTGCTGAGTCAATCCACGCGAAACACAAAGTCACAACCGATTCCACACGAAACGGTCGGGTGCTTGACAGAGCACTGTCACCAACCATTGCGGCTAATATCTCCAGTGTGGTATTAATGAATAAACGACTTCAAAGTAAGCTACAAGAGTGGGGGGGGGGGAATGAACTACTTTAGATAACAGGTAGAGACACTTGAAAATGACTTAAAGATAGAAAAGTCTCTAAGATAGTTTTAATCTACATGAAGTGAATTGTAAGTCTATAATTCTACGCTCATCTTTCTATTGCCAAGTATTTTTACATTCCCATGGATACTTTAATTTTCCCAAACATGTGTCATTTTATTTAAACGTTTCAAGGTTAATATTACCGTAGGCTCTTAATCACAAGCGGGAGGTTGGACCAATTATATGTTAACAAAGGCTAAGCCTATACAATCCTTTATTTGGCAAACAAATAGGCATTTGATTTAGTTTAAATTTTGTTGAAGAACTTTTGAAATAACCTGATTCTAAGTGTGACAAAAGTTTAAAATTTGTTTTAGATAATGTTTAAATGGGTAGTTATCATTTTTCCATTGTTAAGTGATACCAATCAGCACAGTCACAAGTGAAAATATATCGAAATCCTTTCAGACAGAACATGATACGCAATTTGGGCTCGTGTTTGCTTCAAAAGTTGTTTTCAAGATTTTAATGCTTTCATTTAATTTTGTGAAATAAATTAAACGAATCCGTAGGTTGAAGTAATTACAAGGAGAAATTAACTGACCCCTAAACGTAATAAATCATTATTACTAAAGATGATCAAACGACAAGTGATATTTATTGCATCTATGTCGCCTTGATGCGCGATCAGTGATTGGAATGGTCAATAGTACTGTTCACGTCTGGTTAATTTATTGGGTGACATGATTCGAGTCCAACACCTGGGTGATCCTCTGGCACCATCCCACGCAGCAAACGTTTTTTTAGTTGATCGTAGCACACTCAAATGCGTGCACATCTTTTCCTCATACAACAATATTCATTTTGAACGGATTATTTAAAAGTTCCCATATTGTGCCAAAAACCGTGAGCAGTTTTTCAAGAAGTAATTAGTTAAAACGCAGAGCACTTGATGAAATCAAGGTAAACTCTCAAGAGTTTCTCCTCATCTGAATTATGATATAATTAAATTAACTTTCCATTAGTACAATTGTTTACATTTACTATTTGACTGAATTAATGGTCATTTCCATAACTTGTCTCCTGAATAGTTGATTAATTGATTATCTCAATATTTAAACCACGATGACTTCCCTCTGGGAAAAGTTTGTGATCTTGTTATCTCAAATGATTTGCCTTTTAATGGCAACGAATAGGAAGAGGTAAAAAGATGGACATTTGAAGTCGAAAAAGTCCCCCCTCTCCCCTCCCTCCATTCTTGAATTCTATTGATCCCAAATAATTAATCTGATGATGCGAAACGAAACTCTACAAGTTTTAGGTAATTGAATGGGTTTTTTAAATAGATATTCATAAGTTATTCAAAGAAACTTATCTAAGTAAACTACGAAATTTATAATAGCTCAAGGTCAGCCTACAAAATTATTCGGCTGGCCACGCTATTTAACTACATAAAATGATGAGATGTAGATACCTAATAAATTGGAATTTAATTCCATCAGGACTTATTAATCAGCCGTCAAGAGCAAACCATATCAAAACTATGACGATGATTTCAATAACTTTAGAGCCATTAAAAATCTCTATAGTAAATGATGCACAACGTTAACGTGTTTTCTGTGTATTTATCAAGGGTTTGAACTTTTACTGAATAGTATTTAAACTATTCATTCATATAAAATGACAGGCGTTTTGATAGTTATCATTAGTCCTTTAGTTGACTTCAGGCTTCACAGAGGGGAAGAACATCTAAGTGAAAAAAGTCGAGAGGGGGGAACAGAAGAGTGTTTCAAAGATGTAAAAAAGACAGATACAAAGGTAGAAAAAAGGTGAGGTGAGTACTGTGGAAGTAGTCAAATATGACATATAGTGGGGTGATGGGATGATACCGTATGAGTATACGTTGCCCACATGGAGGCAAGTCTATCCCACACCCGTATTTAAAATATAAATATCATTATACTTGATCAATACTATTAGAGTAAAATGGAATTGCATTTAAAAAAGATTCTAGTTTTCATTTGAAGAGGTCTTCATTTCATTGGTTGGATTTAAGAGTGAAATGTCTCGCAAGAATGACTTTAAAAATGTTACGCGATGCTATTTAATTTCATTCGAGTAAAATTTAGAGAATAGTCGTTGAGAATCTTAGATTTTAATCACGTTACCTATAAACAACAAGTAGGCCGTAGTTATAATAGAACATATTGCAAAATGCATACCTACAACGATAGGTTAAATGAAGTCTTAGTTAGACGAGCAGGGTTCATGGCACCATTGGAAAGAGAGGTCGTTGCCGTTCTCTATCACCAATCGAATGACAACGCTCTCGTATTCTCTGACTTTGCGAGTACGTACTTGTTAAGCGAATAGTTCTCATGATTTATTATACCAATGTATTAAATGACTTTCCAAATTTTGTTAACTATCAGTTACCGAGGCAGACAAAGTAACTAACTACTGGAAATATTTCTTCTTTTTCATGAACAAGACGCTCAGCCTGAAAATCCTGTTTTCCTGGAAACCAACGAGAAAGTGGGAGAGCAAGATACAGAAATTGAAGATCCTACTACATCACTACAAATTTTCAGAACTCGTCGAACTCCTGTAATTGATTTTGCTGAAACTGGAAATAGTGAAAGTGGAAATTTCGGAGTATGCGAAGGTAAAATGTCTTTAATTTTAATTAAAATATGGCATTATCTAATTTTTTGTCAAACTTTGGGGTATTGGATAATTCTTAACAAAATGAGAGTTAGAATGCATTAAAATATATCACTGTTATCGGAAGGTTGACTTAATAAGATAAGTATTTCTATTTTAATGATAACAATTATTTAGTCTTTGAAAAAATAAAAGCAGCATCAGCGTTAGCATTTTAAAAAAGCTATTTAAATTTGAAATAAAGTGTCCTAATTTTATTTATTGCGATTATTTACAGTAATTACACAGGATTCGATTTTGGGGTAATTTGAAACAAATCCTATTGAAATAAATTAATTAAAGGCAAAACCTTCAGGAAATTGGTAGTTAATTGAGAGTACTTGCTAATATCTGAGATGCATATCAGAAGCCGATAAAAATCTTACGTGAGAACCTTAAAACAATTGAGGCTTCACTTCTAAAACAGAGTGAAAAGATTCCATTGAACTAGTCTTTGATATTTGAGTGAACCCTCGGAGTACTTTTAGAGAGTCTCATGCGGTCAAACAGTAAATGCCTAAGAATGGGTGAATTACAAATTTGGAATGTTTGGAAATCAAAGCCACCAGGTCTGTTGAGGCTCAATTCCATTAGTTTTAGATATTTCTATAAAGCTGAAAAGGTTTCCCGTCTTGTCCAAAGCAGATTACCACAAATTGAGGGAATACAAAATTTCAATCAAAAGGAATTTTTGGAATATTTGTGAGAAAATGAAAGATAAATAAACAAATATTGAGTAAACAGCAAGAGTGTGGGAACAAACAAAGGATTTGCATAGAACCTTTGAGCGAGCCACAGATCAGATAGCAGATTTATCGCAGAGCAGAGATGAGAGCAAATCAATAACTAATTGAGAGATTTTGATTGGACACCAGTGTTGTGATGTGGTACCACGAATACTCGGACGTAGAAACCAGTTCATTTCAGACGCCATAGATAACAATGTAGTTGTTAAAAATTTCCAAAGATTCAGAAAGTAACTCTTTTATATCCTCGATTTTCCAACCTGTTTATCCGTCGAATCATATCTGATTCTTCAGAACCGAATAATCTTTTTTTATTTGCCAGAGGTTTGGCAGGCAATATTAACAACTTTCATCATCATACTCATCGAAATAAGCAGCAGAATCTTCTTAACAATAATCGTCAAATCAACTTCCCATTTGATGAAAATAATGCTAAACGTCTTTTTTCTTAGAAACCAAACATGACCAAACAATGGAAGCCCATACAGCCACCAACGGTTTCAAAAGAGCTTGTCACGACTCTTCCAGGGACATTGAGTTCGAGGAATTGTATTCAAATTGTGAGTCACCTCCGAGTCTCGCTGTTGATCGAAGACAGTCAAAAAATTCCTTGTCAGTATGATGAAAGAGAATACAGAAGTTGTCAATTTCACATGTATCTAGTCATTTCAGCATGAGAAATATTTAAATGTATTGTGCAAAGAAAGAATTTTGCTTTATATGTTGACCCATATGAACATTGTGAGGGCGGGTCGCTTTATAATCACTATTTAATCAGTGGAGGTTTTGGATTGTTCTTACCATTTGGTTTGTCTGTTTTTGCTTTCTCTCACTTTTCAAAAGGATATAGATTCCAAGTTATTATTTGCTTTCTCTAATTTATACTACTTTCATGGCTACTTATTTCCATGAACACACAGCTTGTTTTTGTAAACATTCATCATGTCATAGCTTGATTGGTGTAGTACTGAAGCACAAAAGAGAAAAGAATGTGATATGAAATAGGAATGCCTCACTTCTAATGAATTTTAAGATCTTTACTTTCATCAAATTCTAGAGTTCTTGAGATGTTTAATTATTTCATAACGAATTTAATTCACTCGGTCATATCCAAATATTATATACCTCACTTTTCTTGACTTCAATTCACTGGGGTTCACGATGTTTGATTATTAGGTCATGTCAAGTTGTATTCACTCGCAAACATGGAAAGGCTGTTCCAACAAAGACGAGAACTCTGGGTGTAAAGTTATGGTTATAAAAATATTTGCCCTTAATAAAGTAACTTATGGGAAGATGAATGAATATTCTTAGTCCGTAAAGGTTGAATTCCGACTCAATTATCCGCCCAATATTCTTCTTAATATGAAATTCGAAATCTTTAATTTAAACATCACCTGAATACGTTAAAGACAATAGCCAGCTCATGGTAACATTTCATCTTTCAATATTAATCTATTTAGTTTTCATTAAATTCTTTCACATAACTTTCCCATTAGAGAAAAAATGTGCGCTTGTAACTGCAGTCTCTATAATTATATTAAGTTGATATGTTTAGATCCACTACGACGCAAGTGATGAAGAGTGGATAATTTCTTGAAATTAAAGGTTCATCCAGTTTTTTTAATTCAGGTTTAAGTAGAGTGAGCTCTGGTATGTTAGTAAACCCAAAACCGCTCAAGATTTGGTGAAACGGTGATACATTTCCCCTCTTTGAAGGGACAATTGACAAGAAGTGGGGAGAATTTCATTTTAAAAGTAAAAATCTACCCGTTCGACGTTCTTTTTTGATCTCCTCTCTATTCATTATTTAACTTTTCTAATTTCAATTGCATTCAATCATCGAAAATATATTAGGTTGGCAACTAAGTCATTACCGATTTCAAATAAGAAGGCAAATTCGGAATTTTTGTTTAAAAATATAACTTTATTCAATTAGATATTGGCCGTTCTTGTCGATGACCTTTTTTCATCGTTCTGGCAGAGTAAAAATTCCCCCTTCGTAAAATGTCTGGTCTTTGCTATTAAAAATCTGAATTAGGTGTGATAAGACATCATCCGCGTTGTTAAAAATTTTACCATTTAAAGAGTTTTGCATGGAACGAAACAAATGGTAATCCGAAGGCGCAAGGTCAGGGCTATATGGTGGGTGTGACAAAACATCCCAACCCAGTTCCAATAATTTTGCCGAGTAACCAAAGATGTGTGGGGCCTTGCGTTATCATGATGGAAAACAACACTCTTCCGATTTGATAATGCCGGCCGCTTATCTTCAATTGCATCCTTCAGTTTTCGAGTTGTTCAACATACACATTTGAATTTATCGTTTGGTTCTGCGGCATGAGTTCAAAATACAAAATTCCTTTGTGATCCCACCAGACTGACAGCATAATCTTTTTTNGAAATGGATCATTCTCATTGCGTTTCAGTAGCGGCGAATCACAGATGCTAATCCTTTGCGTCAAATGAATTTCCTTTAACTGGTGAGGGATCCATAAATCAAGTTTCTTGACATAACCAAGGGTTTTTCATTTTTTTTCAATGCATGTATGCGACACATTGAGCTTCTCTGCAATATCTCGTGTTGTGATGTGACGATTTGAATCGATAATGGCCTTGATATGGGTTTCATCCACTTCGACTGGGCGGCCAGATCGTTGTGAATTTTTCAGTGAAAAATCACCGCAACGAAATCTTTCAAACCAATTTCGACACTGCCTTTCTTTTAAGGCTTCATCTCCATATACGGCACATAACTTCTTTTGTGCTTGCGATGCGTTCTTGCCTTTTCGAAAGTAATACAATAAAATGTGTCGGAAGTGCACGTCCTGTTCTTTCATTTTTAAATTGGGATAAAAACAAAACTAAAGAACTAAACAAAAATATTTTTTACTAATTAACCTAGAAGCCCATACAGTAAGAAAAAAATTAAGGTTAGATGGTCTGGCCACGTTAACAAAACAAAAGAAAGTATAGAGTGAGTCTGTCAACAAAAACGGCAATGACTTAGTTGCCAACCCAATACTAATAACTTTAGATATGCTTTTGTTCGTAAAGTTATAGCTTTGATTGACCAGTGGCATTTGACCAGGAAGAATGGAGTAAGACGGATATCGATCCAAGACACAAAACATTTCCCATTCTCCTTAATATCTTCTTGGTATTTTGTTCCTAGTTTTGGAGAAATTCGCACATGAATCTATGCCTTTGATTCTGGCTTTGTGATCATATGCGACTTCGAAGTTAAATGTCTTAAATTTCATTTTGAGTTCATTTGATTCAAAAATTAAACATGCCTTTTAAATCCCTAGGGATTGCGAGATAGCAAAATGTCTGATGTGTCACTAACCTAGAGAGTGGAACGACCTTCAGAATTCGGTCGAGATGATTCTCGATAAAAAGAGTAGAAGTGTTGAATTTATAACTGATATACTGCCAAATTTTAAAGGAATGGAGGAAGAGTTTTGGAAGAGAGTTGAAGTAGGCGATGACAAGAAAGAGGAAAAATGATAATAAACGCCTAAGGTGCGTGTTGAAATACAGTATAATGGTGATTGGCCGGTTTTAAGTCTTTTTTCTGTGTTCATTCACTTGGCAGACCAATGAATTATCGTGTATGCACAGCACCTAATTTACTATTTTATTTATTTTCACCTATTTTTTCATATGGCAATAAAATCTATAAGAAGACTAGTCAATGGGCATTTATTCTCAAGGATTCATTTAAACATGAGAAGATACTATTTAGGATAGCTCAATAATTATTTAGACTTTACGTTGATATCCAATATGAAGTTTGGCATTTCTTACATTTCTGTCAGTCATGTTCATGTCAGATTAACTATGTGGGGAGTTTTTGAATTTTTTTTACACTTCGTGGGCATAATTTTCTGGTGCATGAAACATTTACTGCATTTACTTCTGTTTAGTAAAGTGACCTCTGAAGTGGCCAATAAATAAGCTTCTCTGACTAATGAACTTTTAATAGCTGCAGTTTATTCTGGTTCTTCCCTCAACGCACGTATTTTTCTTTATGAAATAACAACAACACAGTGTTTACGAAATAGCGACACGTATTTTTTCTATCGTGAAATTAGATAACTGATCAACTTTGCGAGGCTATTGCTAGGCTGATGTAAAGCCTACTTCTCACACTAATAATAGCCAAGCACATGTCTCAGTTCAGGAATGCAGAGTAGAGAGTGAATGAGTGTAATCAAGAGCAGTGGTTAAAAGAACTAATAGGGAGGACCGAAGTGCCAAGTGTTCGCATCACAAGTCGTAAAATTAACGTGTATGAGATATAAAATTTAGTCACAGCAAAAATGACTATTAACAAATCAATACTTCTTTTCCAGAAACTATAATCTCGACATTCGGTGAGACAAAATGCGACCGTAGTACTCATATCTAGGATCAAATTGTAAAATTAATGTTTCGGAAAGGTGGTAAAAACTAATAAATGATTCGAAAATTCATCTTGAGAAACGTTCATGGTGTGTGCTTCAACTCGCAAAACGGTTTTTATTTGCAACCAAATAGAAAATCATAATATATGAGAGAAGGTAAATCAACTTAAACCACCAGGTTAATATAAATATTAAATCTAAGAAGTATTTTAATTGAATTTATCGTAATTCTTCCAATAAATAACACCTATTTATGGAATAATTGGTATGTATTCATAATTAAATTAAGTTAAAAAGTAGCGAGTAGGCAAACATACATTTCAAATCGATTTCGCTGCTTTTCGGCGGATAACTCGCATTCACTTATCGGATAATTAATAAACATTTTTGGCGCAGTTTCATAATTGCGCTTCTTCCGAATATTTCATTTTCAACTTGAAATCAATCATTTAAAGTTGAATCTCAATTGAATTAATAATTTTTGTTTCTTTTCCTAAAATATTTGATAAAAATTTGGTGAAGTAAAATTTCGAAATTCGAAAAAGACTTGGAAGGATATATTGCAAAGTCAGCTTTTATTTATAAAGCATCAACATGACAGAAGCCATTTTTGCAATTAATTAAATTCTTTCAGGTTTGTATGAAGATTAGTTGTGCGCATTATTTATACTTCGCAAAGTCCACAAGTCTAAACTGAAGGTTTGTAAAGAAGCGTAGAAGTCCATCTTAATAGAGTCTACTAAACTGTAGATCGGAAGAACAATAGAAGGAAGCGAAAATTCTATTTATTGCTGTCGTTATGGGTTCTTAATTAAGCAAAGGTGCTCAAAATTCTTTAATTCAATATTTTTGTTATTAGTCCACTTCGGTTAGCAACTCACCTTGATTCCTAGCGATGGAACAGGTGCTCCATTTTTTCCTTTCATTACTGTCAAAATTTTATCTTTATCTAGTCTGAAATGCTCAATTAAGTTTCAATAAAAAATAAGCTTCATTATGGCATAGGTTTATTACATGTTCATTTGTATAAAACATCCTCAACTTTGTCCTTATTTGACCTTGTGTAGGAGGGTAAATGCCATGAAAAGTAGGCAGAATTATATAAGGATTATTTGGAAACACCATTGATTTATTCCATTGTTATTAAGAGATTCAGTTGTTTACGGAGCCTTCAAAATACCCCAGAGATGTTAGCTTGTCTGCATTTTGATCA